GCGTATTACGAAAACTAATACTACACACAAATAAGATTCTTCTCGCATTTTTCTCCTATTTTTACGAGCCACCTGGGGCCAATTTTGAACCCATTTCTGCCTTAATTAATACTGCCGTTTGTCTCTTGTTACTTTTCTTGGAACCTACATTAATTGAGCTGTTATGGCTCTCACAATTTCTCTTTCTTCTCTGTATTGGCATCAGTTTCATTGGAAGGCCATCATAAGTAATGACATTATTAACATTTATGGTGGTTCGAGAAAGCTTTTTTGTTTGTTCTTCACAACTATCACGCATTACTACTAGCTCATTCATTCTAATATATCCATCTCATGGCTGCCATTGCCATTGCCAAACAATCTCTAATCGTTCCTCTCCTATTCCTAGTTCTCGTCCTTCCCTACATGGGATTAGGAAGTGGAACAATTAACAGAATCCAAAATTTGACCTTTTACTCCGACAACAACAATATCAATCATGCAAATGCCCAAGCAACACCTCGAGTTAATGAAAGACTTTGGGCCTACAAGTCTGGATTTCGGCTACCAAGGTTTGGTTTCCTTCCAAGAGGCGCGCTTTCTCCGCCTTCTGGCCCTTCAGGCCGACACAATCAACATGCGTCTCAAGGAGGCCCTCCGGTTGGCGCAACCAACATCGATACACAACATTAAAGCCCTGTTTGGTAAGAGAGAAAAAAAAATATATATAAGAGAATTAGTGGATATATTTTTAAGTGTGCAGTTGTTTGACAGCGAGTGATTTGAGTGTAGAATAGGCTGGGTGAAGAATTCATAATATTCTATGAGACAAATCCTCCATTGCTCTCCAATCTTATCATTGCCCGGAACTATATATACATATATATATATATATATATATTGTTTATTCATTTTCTGTTTTCATTTTGTCTTGCCAAGAACAACATAGCTTTTGTGTCTTTTTTAACTTGACAATATTATATTGTTGGACAGTACATTCCAAAATGCTTATGTACGTCTTTTGAAGCGTAAAAAACGAAAACGTTTTATAAATAACGTTTGATTAGAAATTCTTTGAAAATAAGAAAAAAAAAAATAGTGAGAATGGTTTTTGTTAAGAGAAAAAGAGACAAATATTTTTTAAAGTGTATAAGGTTAAATTTTTACTTTTTACTTTTGATTAATATCATTTTAAATTAAATATTTATATTAGTCAAAATGACATTAATCAAGAATACGGAGTAAAAATTTAAATGCATACACTTTAAGACTAAGTTCAACAATTTTTTCTTTTAATTGTTAAAGAAATAGTGGCCTCAGAAAAAGGTTGAAAGTCGTTTTAAAATTTTCATTATTTTCTAATACACGTTTTTCAGAAAATATCTTACAATCTGTCAAAAACATAATCAAGCACAATTTCAAAGAATTATAAATAGATCATTTTTAACGGTCGTACCAGACAGGTTTTTCATTATTTTCTAATTTTTTTTTTAGAAAAGAAGAAAGACAGCCACTAGTAAATTAGGCTTAGGCTTTAAAAAA